CACAGGTGAGCACACCTGGACCCTCCCCCGGGGCTGGCCACCAACACAGCTGCTGATCCTCCTGACTCACTGGGGGCCCCTGGCCGAGTTAGTCTCTAGGCGCCACATTCTTGCACACACGTGGTGAAGATGACAACACTGTCCTTTCGGGCTGTCGGGATGTTTGAGATGGCCAACCTCAATAACGGCCTCGATAATGAGCTGGTGTTGCTTCTGTTGTTGCCTCGAGACTACTTCCATCGCTCGTCCTGGGGCCGCTAGAACTAGCACTACTGGTGTGTACAAGCGGACAGGAGTCCCCAGGGAATGAGAGAGGGGTCTGGAGGTAGAAGCTTGAGTGGAGTGATTGCCTCCTGAGCACAGCACTGAACCCCAGAGACCCAGCTGTAGCCTTTGACCCAGGCCTTGGGGGGCAGAGGGAGAGGAAGAAGAGGTCCATCTTTGGGGCTTTTTTTCCCTGGATGAGGTGGTGATCAGAGGAAGCCCCGGCTCCTTCCAGCACCCCTCACCCCTCCACAGATCTGTGGACTCCCCGGTGAGGGATGCTGGCCTCACCCTGCTGTCCTGAGGGCTCAGCAGTCGACCACATGCCCAGCCCTCCAGGAGCTCAGGGAGCCTGCCTGGGCCCTTACCCTGTTCCACCCCTCAGCCCTGCTGGCCAGGTCACAACTGTCTAGGAGGAGAGAAGATAAAAGCAGCCCCTCGGGGTGTCCATTGCAGGTTTGGGCTGGTCCCTGAGGTGGTGTCGCCACTGCCTGGCACAGCTCACCTCCCCTGCCTGCAGCCGCCCTATCCTGCCGGGCTGCTCTGGACAACCTCGCTCCCTCTTCTCTGGCCACGCACGCTCAGCCGTTAGTTCTCCTCCAGGTTATCAAAGCCCTTTCCCTGGTCTCCGTCTCCCCTCCTGCTGGGGACTCTAGTCCACCTTCCAGTCACCAACCAGAGCGATCTTTCTACGAGGCCAATCTGATGATACCGGTCTGCGGCTTTCAACCCTTCAGGGGTTGCTCTTGGAGGGAAATCCACTCTTCACTTTGCCACCAGGGGCCCTTTCTGGTTCCATGTCAATGGAATGATTTCCCGCTGGCTTCTTTCATGTACTCTCCTGCCGTCCAGCCACACAGACATAGTTTCTGTTCCCATGCCGGTGGGAATGCTTTCCCACGCTGCATTTACTCACAGAGGTCCATCCCGTGGAACACCACCTCTCCCTACTCTGTTTGGATCCTACTCATCCGTAACCCATTGAAATGGTGCCTCCCACCTAAGGTGTTCATTGTACAGAAGTCAGATCTCCCTCCCCATCTACTGAGTCTCACCTTACTCTTAGACGGTCTACCCGATAAGGCAACTATCCATGAATATGCCTAACATTCTCCCTCTGGGACAAGAAGAGACCCTTGAAGGCAGAGCATGGCTGATTCATCTCCAAATCACCAGCACAGGCCTGGATCCGAGGAAGTCAAGTAGCATCTGTTGACCATACAAGTATCTGAGTATACCCCACTCGGGCACACACCTGTACTTGGGTATAAGCCAGATAGAGTTGAGTCTCTGCTACAGTAATTCTGTGTAATAAGCCTCCTAAATTTCTGAGGCTTGTATCACCTATTTTTCTTGCTCGTGGGTCTGTGGGGTTAGCTGAGTAGCTGTGCTTCAGGCTGTAGATAGAAGGGTGGCCTGGGCTTCCATGGGATTGGTTAGGCAAGGTTTCAGGCCACAGGTGGCTTGAGACATGCTCCATGTGTCCACAGTCAGGGACCTAGGCTGAGGGGTAGCAGCCATCTGGGGTGAGCTATTCTCATGGCAAGCTAGCAAGAGTGTGGCTGGACTAGCCAGACAGCAAGGCCATTTGAAGCCACTGCTCACGTCACATCCACTCATTTCCACTGGGCAAAGCAAGTGTCACAGCCAAGTCCCATGTCAGTTGGGCAGAGAAGCATATCTACCTACCCTAGTAGGGAGGACTGCAAGGTCACAGGAAAAAAAAAAAAAAAGCACAGCTCTGTTACAGAGAGGGGATAAAAAAAAATAGGAACATATTCCAGCCAAAACTCCCAGAATAAAGGTCATGCACATTGGTGTCCATGGTTCTGTTCTGCTCACAGCCGTACAGACTGATCCCTGTCCTCTGATGTCTTCACCTCTGTGTGCACCTGTTTTTACATCAGCAAAATGGGAAGAATAATACTTGTCTAGAAGGTTCTATGACATTTAATAGACTTAGTACACGTTAAACACTTACACAGTTCTCCATAAAAGTGTCCGATAAAAGTAAGTTGCTGCTACTATTATTATATTATTACGGCTACTCCTACCTACCAAAGCATCCAATTACATCCCTGCTGCCTCAGTGCCTCCCATCTGCAGCCACATCAGTGCAGAAGTGTGCATATGTGCATGCACAAGCAAGCATGCACATATGCCAGGAGTGACAAGCTGGCAGCCCACTGGCCACATCTGCCTGGGGATGTGTTTTATTTGATCTATACAATATTTTAATACATGAGGCATTTCATGTAAAAATAAAAATTTCTTGAGTTATCTTCATAGATGGTAAATATGGTTAGGGAGTAGCTCTTGTCCTGCAGGTGGAGGCGTGAAAAACCCAGCATTTAGAGGTTGGCTAGGAGATTGGGTGGCTGAGATTGGAGCAGCCAGGGAGGCAGTGAGAGGATGGGTCCCCAGAACAGGGGGGCGTGAGGGCGGCAGGAGCTGCAGGAGGACCCCAAAGCCTTGTGAATTGGACTTAGCAATAAGGAGGCTGCCAGGGGCTTTGGGGGGGGAGTTTGGGAGTCATGGAGGCACAGGCAGCATTATAGGGGGTTGAGGAGTTGAGTGATGGAAGGTGCATAAGTAGAGAAAGTGAGTGTAGCAAACTCTTCCATGATGATTGGCTAGGAAGGGGAGAAGAAGAAGAAACGTTGGCTAGGGGCCAGGCATGGGAAGTGGGTTAAAAGCAGTTTTCTTAAAACAGGAGAGGCTTCAGCACATTCAAATATTGATGGAAAGAGTCCCATTGACATAGAAGTCTGTGACACAGGGAAGAGAAGGTAATGACCCTTGGACGGGATCATTGATGAGGTCATTGGTCATTTCTACCTGGAACATAGGAGATATTTTTCCTGTTAACCATTTGCTTGGTTGCTAACTATCTAGCCAGTTTGAACGAAAGCCCTGTGAGAGCAAGGCCTTTGTCTTGTGTTCACATAGGAAAAATACCACCTGTGTTCCAGGTAGAAATGACCAATGCCCTTGCTAATGGCCCTTGGCGAGGAGGAAGCCAAGTGCAAGTGAAGTATCAGCCTTAGAAAGGAGAAAGGACACCTGCCCCACTGTGACCAGTGGAAGGGGTCGTCACCCAGCTAGTTCGTGGCCAAAATGGAGCTGGACCTCAGGCGGCCTATTTTGCTCACTCGTTTGTTGATTCATTCAACAGGCATTCCTTGATCATCAACTCCTTGCCGGTATCATTCTAGTAAGAAACAAAACAGACAAAAATCACTAGTTCTAGTCATGGGAGAGAGATAATAAAATGCAGAGAAAGTTGTAGAGTTTATTAGGAGATGAGATGTGTTATGAATAAAATAAAGAAGAACAGAGAATGCTGAGGGCATGGGTTGCAGTTAAAATAGTGTGACAGGGTAGGCCTCATGGAGAAGGTGCCATTTGACTGAAGACCTGAGGTGGTGAGTGAGCGAGCCCTGCAGGAAGCTGTCCAGGGATAGCATCTCCTAGGAAGAGGCGGGAGCGATACGAGGGGCTGAGACAGGGGGTCAGGGAGGTGGTCACATACATGGTCAGAGCAGACAGTGGGGCAACAGTGGGAGATGAGGTCCCAGGGGCCACTGGAGGGTGTTGAGCAAGGGAGTATGATCTGACTCATATTTAACAGTCACTTGAGTGGCCATGTTAATTAAGAAGAGTGGGGGGGGGGGAGAAGACTAGGGGTTTGGGGAGGTGGAGCAGGGTGAGAGGGAAAGCAGGGAGACCCACAGAGGCTGGAAGGCAAAAGATCATGGTGGCTGAGGCCAAGGTGGTAGCAGAGGAGGTGGTGACAGGTGCCTGGATTCCTGACATATTTTGAAGGTAGAGCCAACAGGATTGGCTGATAACTTGAGTGAAGAATGAAATAACAAGAGAAGTCAAGGATAGCATGAAAGTATTTGATTTGAGCAGCTGGAAGGCCAAGGTCGCCATTTACTGAGATGGGGGGGGCTGTTGGGGAGCTCGTGGGGGTAAAGAGCTCCACTCGGACATGAGTTTGATGTGTCTGCTAGACATCCACGTGGAGGTGCCAAGTAAGCAGTGGGGTATGGAAATCTAGATTCAGGGAAAATGTCTGGGCTGGCAGTGTAGATGCAGGAGTGAGTCATTGTTATCTGGGGTTATTTGAAGCCAGGAAGCCAGATGAGATTATCATGGGCATAAGTAAGAGGAGAGATTCAAAGACAGCCCTGGGGCCTTCCAGTGTGACCAGGTCAGGGGGAAAAGGTAGAACCAGCACACAAACAGGAAAGGAGAACAGTCGGTGAGGGGAAGGGAGCCAGGCGGTGCTATCCTGGAGGCTGAGAGGAGAGCTTTTCTAGAAGTGGGAATGATCAGCTGAGTCAAATGCTGCTGATGTGTCAAGACAAGAATGGAGAAGTTGCCACCGGGTTTAGCAGTATGTTGGACACTGTGATTTTGACAATGGCAGTCCAGAGGCTGGTGCGCCTGGGTGGGCCCTCTGAACACTTCACGACCCTCATACGGGATTAAATGAGATGTGTGCATTCATGCCCTGTACACAGAGGTGTGCTCTAAATACTGGGGCATCTGGTAGGCGAGGTGGTGGGAACAGAGGACGAGAAGTCTTGGAGTGTCCAAGTGGACCCAAAGCCTGCTGCCTTGTCCACTCCCCCACCCCCGGCAGCCTGTCCAAGCTTCTGGACGGGAAGCAGGTACCCTGCAGGGCCCGTTTATTTCCACCATCTCCCTAGACCCTCTTCTCCTCCCAGCAGATGAGCCAACCTCCCCCAAGAAGCCCAAGAGTGTCCTGGAGCCAGAGCCCAGTGATGTGGATGGTGGAGCCACCTCTCTCCTGCCCTCTGAGTGGACCTCAGTGAGGATCAGCCCTGGGGAGGATATAGTTGGACAAGACATGATGGCTGTGCGTGTCCTGGTCACCAGTGACGACAGCAGGTATGCTCAGGCTGCTGCGGGGTGGGTTCAGAAGAGGGATTGGACGAGGGTAGCGGTATTCAGGAACTGGTCTTCTTTCTTCTCGCTGACCATGTGACCTCTCTGTACCTCCATATGCTCATCCATAAAATAGGGACAACCATAATACCTGTCTCGTGGACAATCGTAAAGATCTAACAATTAATATACACAAAGCATGTAGAAAAATGCTCAGCACATAACACTATAAGTGTTAGCAATTGCTGTTTTCTCAGAGAAGGGACAGGTTCTGGCCCCACTGTCTTCTCCCCAAAAGGCAGTTGTGACATAGGCTGTAGCAAGGGGGTGCTGAGTGGGTGTCACTGTCACGCTAAGTAGGATGGTGATACATGATAACGGGAGGCTAGGCTAGGGGTGGAAGATGCATGAGAAGTAACGTTCTGCTGCCCTAGATGAGTATTTCTCAGAATGGCATCCTTACCACCCATACCAGAACCACCCAGAGTGCTCATTGGGACCCCAGACTCCAGGCCTCCCCTCGACTGAATTCGTTCTGGAGGCCGACCAGCAAGAGGTACCGATTGCTCCTTATGTGCTAGGCTCGGAGCATAGAGCAGTGACCAACACAAGACCAAGGCCTTGCTCTCACAGGGCTTTCATTCAACCTGGCTAGACAGTCAGCAAACAAGCAAATAGTTAAAAGAAAAATATCACCTATGTTCCGGATAGAAAAATAAAATAGGAGTCTATGCTAGAGGGTGACTAGTCAGCTACTCTCGACTGGGTAGCCAGGAAAGGCCTTTGTATCAGTTATCCATTCTCACCGTTATGCTGAGGGACAGGAGCGCTCCGGCAGCCACCGCTTATTCTACTCACAGTTCTGTGGGCACCTATTTCAGTCAGGCTCAGTCCTGCAGTTCTTTTGGTCTCGGTGGACTCTCGTGTGTGTTCGAGCCAGGAGGGTCCTGCTTCTAGAACATGGCTAGCCATCAGCTGGACTGTCAGGAGGCAACCGGGCCATGGGTCTTTCATCCTCCAACAGGCAGCCCGTGCTTATTCACATGGTCCTGTGAGAAAGCACAATCATGCGAAGTGTCTTGAGGTCTTGGCTATTCCTATCATGTCTGAATGGTCACAAGTCCAGCCCGGACTCAAGGGGTAGGGAAATTGGCTCCACCACTATGGGAGGAGCTGCAAAGGTCTATTGAAAAAGGGTGTGGACCCAGGGGAGGAATGATTGCAACTGTTCTTTGCAAACAATCTACCATGGCCTCCGTGAGGAGGTGACATTTAAGCTGAGAATTGTCAACAAGAAGGGACAGCCATGTGAAGACTGAGGGAAGTGGCATCCAAGCAGTGGAACACCAGTACATAGGCCCCTGGGGCAAGTGTGGGCCTGATGTCTTCTGGTGTGGCTGGCACACAGTGAGGGGACGAAGAGTAAGATATCATATCAGAAAGGAAGGCAGGGGCAGCCCGGGTGGCTCAGCGGTTTAGCGCCGCCTTCAGCTCAGGGCGTGATCCTGGAGACTCGGGATCGAGTTCCACGTCGGGCTCCCTGCATGGAGCCTGCTTCTCCCTCTGCCTGGGTCTCTGCCTCTCTCCCTCTGTGTCTCTCATAAATAAATAAAATCTTAAAAAAGAAAAGAAAAGAAAAGAAAGGAAGGCAGGAGTAAGGCTTAGTAAGACAAGGGCAAGGGTAAGTAAGGGCAAGGAGTTTAGACTTCATTCTAGGTCCAACTGAAGGCCATTAGATAATTCTTAAGTCAGAGAGTGATATCTTATTTATGATTTCCAAAGATGAGCAGGCCTCGGTATGGAAATGGGTGGGACAGAGGTGGGTGGGAGTGGAGGCAGGGAGGCCCGATGGGAGCCTGTGGCATGGGTAAGAGATGAGGGACTTGGGCCAAGATTGGGAGCAGAGAAGAAAGAGTTTGCTGATCAACTGAACGTGGAGGTGAGAGAGAGCTCAACGGTGACTCCCAGACTTTGACCCACGTGACTGCAGGAAAGGTGCAGTCGTTTCCAGAGTAGCCTTGAAGAGGACAAGATTTCAGGGAAGAAGATGCAGGTTTGTGGAGAAAATCAAGAGTTCTCTTTTGGCCACGTGGAGTTGGAGATGTCTATCAGATGTCTTTGTGCGGATGTCAAGCAAGCCGTAGAACAGAGAAGTTTCTTGGAGGCAGGTCTAGAGACAGTGATTTGGGGGTGGGGGGCAGTGGCACGGAGAGGCTGTAAAAGCCAAGGGAGCTAATGAGGCACCTGTGGAGTAAGAATATCTTCTCATAAGAAAGAAAGAAAGAAAGAAAGAAAGAAAGAAAGAAAGAAAGAAAGAAAAGAAAAAGAAAAAGAAAAAGAAAAAGAAAAAGAAAAAGAAAAAGAAAAAGAAAAAAAAAGAATATCTTCTCATAGCTAAAGAAGAGCTGGGCATGGATGAGAGCCCCAGGGCATTTGAACATTCAGTGGGCAAGCTGGCAAAACGCACAGGAGGGAGAGAAACCGAAAGAGGCTGGGTTGTGGAAGCTGAGAGAAGAAAGGAGACGTTTCAAGAAGGAGGGTGTGGTGCTGGCTCAGATAAGAATGGAGGAGCTGGAGAGGCGACCTCTGGATTTTCCTACAAGAGGATCAGAAACCTGGCTGGAGTAGGTGTGGGAAGAATGTGAGGGAGAAAACGGGTACTGCTGCCCAGACAGCTAGTTTGTAAGGTCTGGAGCCTTCAGACTCTGGAAGGGGGCCTGGCAACAAGCATTTTAGCAAGTCCCACAGGTGATTTGGACCCAGAGGTCTGCATGAGCGCCTCTGCCTTGGAGTGCCCTAGTGGTCACTGAGGTAAGCAGCAAGGCCCAGAGAAGGAAGGTCTCACAGCCTGGGCTCAGTTAGGCAGGGCTGTGTCCTGAAACCCAACTCTAGCTTAAGTAACAAAGCAAATACTTCAGTGCCCCTGACTGGGAGGTCCAAGGGGGTCCCCTCTCCAGACAAAGTTGGAGCCAGAAACTCAGACAACCGCTGTCTGCTGCCTCTCTGCATGCCTGATCTGCAACCACCCGCAGGGAGGCTCTATCCACGTGTGGAACACTTGGCTGCTGAGGGCCTCAGCCCACGCCCATTGGTCCCCATCCATGTCCCAAGACCTCAAGGTAGACCTCTGATGGGTCTACCCACATTGCACGCCCACCTCTGGGACTCATCGGTGAAGAGCACTAGGACGCCGCGAGCGGCGGGCTTGGGCACCGTGGTGGAGAGAGTCCACCAGAGCACACAGATGGACAAGGGGCAGCAACCCAGTGGGAGGATGCACGCTGGACTTCCATACACAGGGCGAGGGTAAATCCATATGTTCACCAGAAGTCACAGCCCTACAGGTTTGCACCTCCCGCAGGCCCTGGGGACGGTGCATGCTGTCTCTGCTGCTGCGGACACCCCGCCTCCACTTCTTGGCCACCTGAATCCCTGCCAGTCATCCAAGGTCCAGGTTCAATAGTCCCCCTCCGACCCCGTGGCCTCCTCTTTTCTCCCATCCGTTCCCACAGGCCACAAGCACCACTGCAATGCCTAAAGGTTTAGGAGCAAGTCCTAAATGATGAGCTCGTTTCCCCTCGGAGAGCTGAGCAGTCTTGGTCAAGGGTGTCTAAAGGTGGGCAGGCCGACTGCCCTACAAGCACGTCAGCATACACGGGCCGGGCTTTGCTCTCCTGCAAGAGACCAATGCCTGTATTCACTGGCTCGAGCTCCAGAAAGTACCATGGTGGCTTCAACAACAGAGATGTGCTTTCCCTCGGTTCTGGACGCCAGAAGTCCCAGCTCAAAGTGTGGGCAGGACTGGTTCCTTCTGAGGGCCTCGAGGGAGAAGGATCTGTTCTGTTTGTGTACCCACTGGAGATTCCAAAGCTTCTCACGGAGAGGGAGGCTGGGCACAGCGTGTCCCCATGGGGTATTCCTCCTATGCCTGTCCAAATCCCTCTTCTTGTAAGGACACCAGGCTTATGGGAATAGAGCCCACCCTAATGACCTCATTTTAACTTAATTGCCTCTTTATTTATTTTTTTTAATTTTTATTTATTTTTGATAGTCACACAGAGAGAGAGAGATAGAGAGAGAGAGAGAGGCAGAGACATAGGCAGAGGGAGAAGCAGGCTCCATGCACCGGGAGCCCAATGTGGGATTCGATCCCGGGTCTCCAGGATCGTGCCCTGGGCCAAAGGCAGGCACCAAACCGCTGCGCCACCCAGGGATCCCTAATTACCTCTTTAAAAACCTATCTCTGAATGCAAACATGAGGTACTAGGATTAGGATTTGATATGAATCTGGGGTGGGGGGACACTGTTCAGCATGTGACAAAGCCTGAGGCTGGGCTTTGGGGACAGGGGTGACTAAACCACTCTCTTGCCCTGGAACGCCACGGCCTGCTGGCGGCAGCGGCAGGCAGGGCGCAGCATGGGTGTGGGAGGTGAACTGCGGGGTCCCCCACTCACCCACTCTCTCCTTGCTCCTTCCAGCTCTGATGCAGAGCCAGACTGCCCCGGCACCAAGGCCTCCAGTACGCGGCCCTGTGAAGAGAGACCCTGGCGGCCAGGACCCCGGCCCCTCCCGGAGCCCCTCACTAGGCACAGCTCCCTGAGGGAGGCCCCGGCCAGGGGAGGCTCTCCCCAGAGCTCCGAGGAGCCCCACGCCGTGCACGGTGAGCAGAGAGTTTGCCCCCGTGGGAGACAGGCTTGCTGGATCCTGGGACATGGGGAGGGACGTGCTGGATCCAGAGACTCTCCATGGCCAGTTTTTCCTGGTGGAGGATCGGGTGACGGGTCCAGCCCTCAGGCTCAGAGGCAGTGGGGCTGGGGCATTAGGGGGGTGAGGGCCCTGCACCCAGGCCCAGCCTCCTTCTCCGTGAGAAGCTTTGGAATCTCAAGTGGGTATGCGGCAGAGGGGCCTGATGGCTGCGTGTCCCAGGCTGCAGAGATAAGGGGGCCTATCCAGAGATAAGGACCCTCTTGCCTGAGCAGTCTCCTCTTTGAACAGGTCCTTAGGGGCCCGTTGGGCATTCCATGGCCCACTAGGGAAGGATGTGGCTTAGCTGTGTGGGCAGCACAGTCCCCCCGGGGCCACCCGGGAGCAGCACAGGGAGCTTGGGGCATGTGGACTGCCCTGAAGCTTTACCTACCCAGTAATAAAGACACTTTGACTAAGCACGTGTGACGGCTGAGGGTTTTCCCATTCGTGGCCCCGTTTCATCCTCAGGACGGCCCCGGGGGGTAAGGCAACTCAGCCTTTTATTGGTGAGCAAGCAGAGGTCCCACAGCTAGTGAGCCGAGTGGCCGGGGCCCAGTGCCTCCACCCCCTAGAAGGCAGGCGTCTCTAGCAGAGCAGCTGATTTTTAATAAAGGCGGCCTTCAGTTGAATGTTTTGATTCGGTCAACAGCAGCTTGTGACCTCTGGGTGGGATATCGGCGAACAGAAAGTTGCCACCTGCAGTACCAGCAGCCTTGGCTGCCCCCGGGATGGCCCGTGCTAGGCTTGTCCTGCACATCCCTCTGGTGGCCGAGAGCAGAAGTTCCACCCGAATCTAGAAGCAATCTCACAAGGGTAGGCTTCGCTGGAAAACCAGGGCTGGGGCCCGCCTCCAGGAAACTCTGGATTTACCCTTCCCTGTGAGCCTTTTTAAAAAAGGACAATTGTCATTAGAATGTATTTGCTAAATGCCATTGTGGTGGCCTCCAGAAATACTCAGCATAGGCGGCCAAGGGGACACTGCACTGTGCCCAGCTGGGGGCAGCCTGCCTCCGTCTCCCTCGGCTCCAGCCCCCTCGTGTATAGATGCGAAGCCTGCCTGCCTTTCATCCCTTCCCTCCATTTCTCTTCCCTCCTCGATTGCCAGGGGATTTTAGGCAATTTACAAGAAAGACAAAATTCTGTGTGTCTTATCTGTAAAAGTTTAAATTCTCAAGATCAAGGTTAACAAAACCAGTTTAGGAGGTAGAGACCCCAGAGAGAGGCAGACTGGGATATCCCAAACAATTGCTCTAGTGGGATCATAAATTTGATCCCAAGTTTTCTGGCAGTCGGCATTCAAAAGGAAGCACAATTATTATCCTCATTGTTCATGAGAAAAACAACATATTGGTTTGGGGCAAGTTTCAGAGCTGGTGTCACTTTTCCTAGTGCTTCACGCTGTAGGAATTGTCCAGCTCGTGTCCAATAGATGGCCCTGAGGGATGCACGAGTTCGTATCTTGAGCAAGGCTGTCCGGTGCAGCATCCCTGGGTGGCAAGTGAGGGCATGGCAATAAAATGTGACTCAGCAATTGCAGTTCTTCTGGGGGGATAGGGCTGGGTCAACACAAGGCAGTGTGGCCAAATAAAGTTTTTGGTTTCTGACATTCCGGCTTATTTTTTTTTAAGATTTTATTTATTTATTCATGAGAGACACACAGAGAGAGGCAGAGACCCAGGCAGAGGGAGAAGCAGGCTCCATGCAGGGAGCCTGACGTGGGATTCGATCCAGGACTCAGGATCACGCCCTGAGCCGAAGGCAGATGCTCAACCGCTGAGCCCCCCAGGCATCCCCCTGACACTCCAGTTTAATAACAGGATAAAATACAGAGTAGACAGAGAAGTAGATAAACTGTGTGACTTTCAAGCAATCTTTTATTGATTTCATGTCCATGTGTCACGTGTTTGATCGTTGCTAGACAGACTGCGTTTACGGTTAAAAGCTCTGGTACCCTCTAAGCATCGTCTTACGTAGGGTGAGTCCGTGACTTGACCAGACCACGTAGGGTTGAGATCATGTTGTGCGTGTTAATGGAGCTTCATTCATCACGACTTTCACTTGGATAAATGGCTAGGAGCTGAGTGGAGGGAATGCCAGGCAAGGCCAGGATACTGCTTGAAGACCTCTGGTTGGCTCACCCATGCTCATCCCGTGGTGTTTACAATTGCCGAAGGGGGAAATGACCAAAACTCATCAACAGGTGAATGGATAAACAAGTTGTGCCATATAATGGAATGTTATTCAGTGTTAAAAAGGAAGAAAACTCTGACACATGCTACAATATGGATGAGCCTTGAAGTCATTATGCTTTGTAAAGTAAGCCAGACACAAAGGAACAGATAGGACATGATGCCATGTCTCTGCAGTACCAAGAATAGTCAAATTTATAGAAAGAGAAAGTTGAATGTGATGACGGGGGTGGTGGTAGGAGTGTGGGGAATTACTGATTCATGGGTACAGAGTTTCAGTTTGGGATGAAGAAGAAGTTCTGGAGGTGGATGGTGGTGATGGCTGTACAACAGTAGGAATGTACTTAATACCACTGAGCTGGACTCTTTTTTTTTTAAGATTTTATTTATTTATTCATGAGAGAGAGAGAGAGAGAGAGGCAGAGACACAGGCAGAGGGAGAAGCAGGCTCCATGCAGGGAGCCCGACGTGGGACTTGACCTTGGGTCTCCAGGATCATTCCCTGGACTGAAGGCGGCGCTAAACCGCTGAGCCACCAGGGCTGCCCTGAGCTGGACTCTTTAAAATGGTTAAGATGGTCACGTTCATGTTACATAATATTTTACCACAATTTAGGGAAGGACTTCTGGGACTACTTTGCTTGGCTCATCTAGGTATCTACTGTATCCTCAAAGTTCTTTAGCATAGAGCATGCCCAAGATGATGGCCTGAAATAGAATTTAAGCTCTGTGCTATTGAGGCTCAGTAGAAAGAGCTCAGTAATGCTCCCCTAAAACTCCTAGATCAGTGGTTCTTTAAAATCTTGTTTAAAAGGAAGCTGCCCAGGTTCCTACCTGCAGAGATTCAGATTCAGTGGGTCTAGCATGGAGCCAAGTATCTGCATTTCTTGGAAGCACCCTAATTGCTTCCATGCAGGAGGGCCACATCTCACACTTTGAGGAATCACAGAAAAGGGGCTTCTAAGAGGGCCTGTCTGGATAAGTGTGTTATAAAATGCACACCTAAATAATTAAATGAGTCAATCAACTGTGTTGGGTTTTAAGGCATAAACCAGTTAGAGCTGGGGGTATGGAGTGTAGACTGCCCCATAGTAATCTGATTTAGAAAAATCGGTATTTTTCCTTTTTTTCTCTGGCAATAATTTGACAACTGGATGGTCCAGTGCCCTCTGGAGAATACTGCTAGTTTGTAACAATTAAATGGTATCATTAGCACCATATGGTAAAATACTTACCCCTTATTCCTTTTGTAGCAAGTCATGCACTAAGATCTCCAAAAGTGCTCCCTTAAAATAAATATAAATAAAATATAAGCCGAAAGGAAGGGAGCCAGGCTTGCTAGATGCTGCTCAAAATGACTGGATCAAATCATTGCTACCCACCCTGTTGTTCCTATTGTGGTAAAAATGTGTGCATGTGTGTCCTATAAACACCAGGGATGGAAAATTGCTTATGAATTTTAGCCATTTTTAATAAGTTCTACTCCACAAAGAGAAAAGGCTGAGGAGGAGCAATAAGGCTTTAAGCAGTCTTCTAGGTTTGTGGGGAAAATTCTCTAGCAGCTGTTGGAAAGGATAGTGTTGGTCAGCAGGAGGTATCTGCCCTGGAGGCCTGCTTGCCCCTGCTGCAGACCCCGCCCTGTGCCTGAGGGAGGAACAGGCCTAAGCTGGGGGGGTGGGAGATGAGGAGGCTGTGCCCCCAGCCATCTGCACAGGCTCCCCCTCAAACCCATGGACTTGAGATGACAGCAGACCTTTGGGACAGGGAACCCTCCAGCTAGAACGGGTTCGCATCTCTCCAGGTGCAATAGGGGAAGGAGGAGAGTTGAGGATCTAAGGAGCTGGATGATCTTGTCCCAAGGAAGAGAAGCCCCTAGAAGAGGCTGCCACCTGTACCCCACAGCCTGGCTGATGAGAGCTGATGCCCACTTCTAAGCACTGGCACGGTGTGGATTCCAGGCCTTCCTACCGAAAGAGAGGGCTGGGCCTTGGCTTCAGACCTCCCCTACCCCATTCTCCCACACCCACGTGACTCCTGGGGCCTTCTTTCCTTCCACGCCCCCTAGTCCCACCTGTATGTGCATTCAGGTGTGCGTGTGGTGCCCCATTCTTCATCCTGGGTATGAAGGAACCACCACAGGGACGCAGAGCCTGAGGCCATATCTGAGGGCCCAGTGTGGGGATGCGGTGCAGTAGCATCTCTCACACCCTAAATGGCAGAGACCACCTTCTTTTGCATGTGATGTTCATCTTGCTCAGCTAATTCTCAAGACCCACTGGGTGGAGGGTGTTCAGTACACAGTCCACAGAATCCTGGTTCCTGAAGGGTTTGGGAGGCTCTGTGGGGGGATGGGGAGGTAGAACTTTCTGCAGCTTCTAGGCTTCAATGAGAACAGCTCAGGTTTATCTACTACATATATGGGACATTGATGTCAGACCTGCTTTGAAGAATTGCTCTGCTAAAAACGAGCAAACGGGTGTGCCCGAATGCGTGTGTGTGTGTGTATGTGTGCACACACATTACGTTAATTATGGACGAGTTAGAATGATGGCTCGTAATTCGAAGGATTTCCTGCATGATGGCAGTACCTGTCCCAAGCAGAGTCTCAATACATATTCAATGAATGAGCGAATGAAAAACTGGAGGTGTGCGTCGTAGGGACCTGAAGATGCAGTCTGGGAAAGGAGGGGGCTTGGTCAATTATTCTTTTTTTATTTTTAAAGACTTTTATTTATTTATTCATGAGAGACACACTCAGAGAAAGAGGCAGAGACACAGGCAGAGGGAGAAGCAGGGTCCATGCAGGGAGCCCGACGTGGGACTCAATCAGGGGTCTCCAGGATCAGGCCCTGGGCCAAAGGTGGCACTAAACCGCTGAGCCACCCGGGCTGCCCCGGTCAATTATTATTATTAGTCTATAAACTGCCAGAGAAGAAAACCCCATGTTTATTCTGTAAGTTTAACAGACTCTTCCTCCCTCCCCATCTCCCCTGCCCGTTTCTTTTTTTCCACCCCAGCTCTGCAACGGGCCAGTAGCTTCCAGTCTCCAATTCCCAGCAAATACCAGAGCTGGAGGAGAACATTCCAGTCAAGTGAGTCACGAGCTCTCTGGGAGTGGGCAGGGAGGGGCGTGGGCAGTGTCCTCTGGTCAATTCTCAGGGGCAGCTGTTCTCATTCCATGCATGTCCTCTCTGACCTGGCCCCCTGGATGTGAGGGGCAAGGAAAGAGGAAGCATTTTCCAAGGATTTGGGACCTTTCTCTCTCCTTCAGCTCCCCAGTCTGGAATCACCACAGTTGCACCCGGAAGGGGCCTTAGCAATCACTGGCTCCAAGCTTTTTGAGACACAGAGGAGGAAACTGAGACCCAGAGCCTCTCTGTGTTTTCATTCTGTGCACTGGGGTTGGCCTGGGGGCATCAGCCAAACGACCTCCTGCAATCACGGGCAAAGCCAAGAAGGAAGCTGCACCCACTCCCACTCATCACCCATCCCTACAGCGGACGCCAAGGCATCCGGCCCCCACGAGGGGGTGCAGGAACCACGCACACAGATGCACAGCATCCCGGGCGGACCACAGTCTCATTCTCGGTGCTGACCCCACTACAGGGCAGGCGTCCCCTCCCCGGCCCTGAGAGAGGGGCAGGGACTCTTAATCCATCTCCAAGTCCACATTCTGCCTCCCCCGGCCCCTGCGCTCTCTGGGCTTTGTTCTGGGAGAGGTGAACCCAGGAAAGCCTTGGGTTAGACAAGAGTTTCTAAAAAGAGCCATTGTTGAAGTTGGAACAGAGTGCTAGTTAGCTGGTTCCTTCCCTCTGAGTCAACACCGACTCCTGGCCCATGAGTCATTCTCCCAGCAACCCTCAGACTTGGGGCTCCCCCTTCCTTGGGTGAGGCTGGGGTAATGGGTGCCTCTGGGGCTGGACCACAGATGGACACCAGCAGGCCACTTCACCTGGGGCACCCTGCAACGACTCTGGAATCATCTTGCAGTCCCAGCCAGTGAAGGCGATGAGAAAAGGGAGTTAATGTTTACTGAAGGCCTGGGTCACTTTATTTCTCCTCTCCCCCAGCCCCTCCCCAGATCACAGAAATTCTGCTTCTACGAGATGGGGAGCCCATTTGGGTACAAATTCCACCAGGGCTTCCAGCTGACTTCACTGAGCGCCAGGAGTGCAAGGGGCTTTGCCTTGCCCTCTAGAAGTTCCGAGGCTGGGGTGCAAGCAGCGAGTCTGATGGGTGGGGGGCTCCTAGCAGGTTAGGGGCTGCCGGAGGGGGGCAGCAGAGACAGAGACAGAGGACTGCTAACTGGGCAGCAGGGTTTCGGGATGGACCTGAAGACCTTGGCGAGTGTGGTTATCCCAGCTGTTGGTCCTCAAGTCTATATAAAAGCTGGTTTGAGGGAAGGCCTTAAGTTGGGGTCACTTCTATGGACCTGGCCCAGAGGAGGCGTCCAGTCATTGCTTGCTGAGTGAACGAGTAAATAAGTGAACAAATGAACACATGAACCAAGTGCAGCAACAAATGGAGCCCCTGGGGTCAGCCTGTGCAGGCTGCTGCCCCTAGAGGGTGCTCTGAGACTTTGGGAGATTTGAGCATCGCCTAAACTCCCAGTTCTGGGAAGCTGCACCCTGGAATCCCAGTCACAAAAATCCTCACAGCCATCTTTTTGGTCATCTTCATTTTGCCCAAGAGGAAACCCCGGTAGGCAACACTGGTCCTGTTGTAGGGGACAGAACCCAGGGCACCATCCCCTCTGTCCATTCCCTGCTCAGTCAAGGCCGGTTCTGGCCCCTGTGCCAGGTGGGAAGACAGGGGGAGCTGCGTGAGTGCCCTCATCACACCCCCCCCCCCCCCCCGACCAGAGTCACCACGGTGACCTCTAGAACCAAGAGGAAAGGTCACTGCCAGAGGCCAGAGAAGAGGCAGCTGAGCCAAAGGAGGCTGGGGGGCTGTAACCTGGGCCGCTCTGCTCATCAGGCCCTTTGCATGCCGGGACCAGGACCAGGGCCCCTGCAGAGGGCCCGGCAGCCCGGCTGGACCATGCCAGGCGCTCAAGGAAGACAAGAGAGAACCTGCAGAGGAGGATCTGAGTTGATGAATGAGGAATCCCTGGGCCTGCAAGTTAGAGAAATCCTGGCCAGGGGAGCCGTATGCAGCCCCCTCTGGAACAGGTCAACAGTTGAGCAGTGTCTTTATGGGCCACAACTTGTGTGCGTGGGAGGAAGAGCGGGGTTAGAGCTAATATTTAGCTGGCATGCGGCATTTACTTTGCATTCTCCACCGGGCACCCCTTTTATTCCATTTTATTCCTTTAGCCGCCCCGTGAAGCAAAGCTAGACATCCCAGTTTTCACGTGTGGAAAGTGCCAGGCCGCTGGGCGGGAAGGACGTGAGGTACCTTTGCTATCCTCTGAGGGAACCCAAAGACGTCGGCCACCTCAGGCGGGTGAGATCTTGTCACCTGGCGGCTTAGCTCTGGCCTTCCCCTCCCGGTGACAGCTTGGCTGGCCGGCGTCCCCTCAAGCTTTGCCCGGGTTGTCCTCAAGTCTGTGCATGAGGAACATGTGTGCAGAGAGGCCTCACTGGTGGCGGCGGCAGGGGTGGGGGTTGGGGGGGCAGGGATTAGGGAAAGGAGAGAGGGAGAGCCCCTGGGTCATGCCCTTGTGAACCCCAAGGCTTTCCTGTCAGGTGTGGTTCCCAAGGTGTCCCTGGCTCTGTGTCAGAAGGTTCTGGAGAGCTCTCGGGAGAACAAAGGAGTCTGTTGAGCGGAGGGGACTCTGAGAGGAGCCGAGGAGCTTGCTTCGGGAGGTAGCAGAGGGAAGAGAATGAGGGGGCAAGGAAGAGGGGGAGGAGGAATCTGGCAGGAATTTGGCAAGCCGAGGACAGGAAGCAAGGCAACAACTGACTCACAGCATTTGCCTTTTTAGGCTCGAACCATCTAATTGTGGGCTGCAATGGGGCTTTGGGTGACAAGCCGGCCAGCCGCCTCCCCCGCAGCGGCTCCTGGCAGCCCGGGGCCTTCTCCCAGCAGCTCCTCCCTGCCACCCTCGGATCCCTGCCCCGGAGTCCTCTTTTCCCCCAGAAGCATTCTGGAGGGCGTCGCTTTGCAAGCCTGCTGAACATGTGCGTGTGGTGGCCGTGTTTTCAGAGCCTGGGACTGGCATACGTGCTCTGACACACTTGCATGTGTGTACGAGGAAAGCAGGACTGAACCTTGAGGACCCCCCACCTGTGCATGCAAATGGGTCTTGAAGGAACTCTTTTTTAGGGCATGGGTTTGGCCTGGCCTGTATGGGTTCCAGAGGAGCAGCGCCTCTCACCCAAAGCTTTAGGGGAAACCGAGGCCAGGGGATTGGATCGAGTTAGGAAGTGAGGTAATAACGTCTGAAGGCCACACCTCGGAGGGCAATCGGAATGGGTCAGCTGAGCGGCCGCCAGCAGGGAGCCTGACGGGAGTGGGTAGAGGGACATTGGTCCTGGGAGGTGACTGGGGGAGAGCCTCGTTTGCTGGGAGGGCTCGCAGGAGAACGAGCTGGGCCGACGGGTCAGACACCAAGTGGACAACCCAGAAACGGAGTGTGGCCGCGCTGGGATGGCCACTGCAGAAGCAAAGCTCTTGAGATTTCAGATTTAAGGTTGCTTAGAAGGCGTGCGGGCACATGCGTGTGTGCACTCCTGAGAGGGAGCTTGATCTCACGGGCTACAACTGCCACAGTCCTGTGGTTACCAGACGAATCGACTCCGGCTCCCAGATTCAGAACTAGGCCCGTTCTCAGGGCCCCGCCACACAGCCCTCCCTCGCCGGGCTCTGCGCGCACACACGCTGCATCTCGCTTGCTCCCTGACCAACAGGAGCTTGGCACGAACCCCACTCCATATGCTTCCAATGATTTGATGCTCATTATAACCTCCCCGGCTAGTGTTCTTTTAAGATCTCAAACTAACCATCTGAGAGCCCCTCGGTGCCCATGTGAGAGGGAGGAGCCTGAGTCATTAGCGTCATTAGCGGTGACTGGCTCCCCTGCCCACGCCCACGCTCAGCTAACAGTCCAGCGTCTCGGGGAAGTCCAGGCCTCAGGTGGTTTATTGACTAAGTGACTTAACACAGCCCAGACCCCAACCACAATGGCTTTAGGGGAAACTTCGTTCATTTCCAAGAGACACCCTGGAGACTCCCTGTTTCACCTCTTGGGAACATCCTCACAAAGTGGGAAGGGCAGTGGTTCTTTAGACTTCTCATCCTAGGGCCTCCATCCCCCCCCCCCCCCCCACAGGAGGCCGCCGCTCCTGCACCTGTTTCTCCTAAAGTCAAACTCTGGGCACCAGGGCCTCTGAGTCAGTCTCCAACCCCATCCTCCCTCTGACTCCATTTATCGAGTTGGAGCTTCCCTTTACGCCTCTTTTCATACAATATAAGGTAATAACAGCGCTGTAACGGAGAGTATGTTCTTTCCTTGGTAGATTCGACGCCAGTGAACAACGAAAGAACTCTGTCACCTTCAAAGGAACCTTCAGAGGCCCCTCTTTCTTCTTCCTCACTGTCTTCCCCCTCATCTTCCCTGCCATCTTTTTCTTCAGCCACTCCCCCGGGGAACTCTCCGGATGGCTTCTCCCTACCTCAGGTAAATGCACTTTGGGACCCTGTGCAGCTGTGAGGAAGGTGATCTGCTCCTGCTCCACCCACTCCCACACTTAACTCTGGAGCTTTAGCACTTCTTAGGTCACCCAGGTGCAAAGCCAGGGCCACAAGATGCTATGTCAAGAGCCCACCCAGGCCTTCTTCACTTGTCCCTTTCATGAAAGCTCATCCATGCTGTTCCTTCTCAGCCAGGCCTGGGGCACAGCCGTTGGTCAGCAGACTTTGTGGGGCACAGACTCTGGGCAGGACTCTGGCATGCAGACATGCTAGGATGTATGCTCTGTCCTTGAGGGCCTGACAGAGGACCTCGGGTTGCCCACAGCTGAGGGAAGCAGACACGGGCTGAGGCTGCCTTTGGTAGCAGTCGAGGCTCTTGGAAGCACATCCCCCTTGAACAGAAAATGGCATCACTGAAACACTCAGGTTTGGAATTTACCCTTCAGTATGAGTTTACCAAGCCTCTGTTACCTTGGTCCAGGCTCTGGGAAGTAGGGTGCACAAGAACAAAAAAAGCTACGTGCTCTTTCTCCTGCCCTATGACCTGCCCCTCAGGCACAGAGCTCTTGGCAGGGCACGGCCCTTCTAGAATTTCCCTATGTTCTTCCTTTGCCAAGGGCCAAGTTCCTGCATGCTACAAATGGCTACTTTCTCAGTGGTGCAAGGCATGAGTCAGGTTGAGATGGGTCATTGGAAAGTCCTAAAGGCATCCTTCTGGCCACCAAGCTCCAGCCCAACAGGGTAACTGTCTCTCCTAATAATCTCCAAGGAAGAAGCCTTGGTCTCTTGCTTGTTGGAGGAACATACCTATGGGTGGAACGTACCCCTTAGCAGGGGCCATGCTAAGCCATGGGGCATCTGTCCTCCTCTACACATCCGGCCACTCACAGGGGCCAGGCCAGTGTGCCTGGCTGGCCCAGGAACTTGTCCATGCCTTCGCCTTCCATTCTGGCTTCCTGCCCACCTAATCCAGCACCCAGCAAAGCCTTCATTCAGAGCTGATACAGGGACTCCAGGCAGATCCCAGCAGGTCCCAGGGCATCCACTTAGAAGGCAGAGCAGCCCTTTGAAATCATCCTAGCCAGAATTCTTTTAGACTTTGGGTACCAGCGATCTGAAGAGAGGAAGGGAGGGGGGCCATGGGCTGAGATCTGCCTCCCCATATAAATAAATGCTGGGAATTCCTAAATATCCATTCATTTTGCCCATCCTCTCTAGGAGACGGCTGACCACCTGCCCTCACGGGTCTCAAGAGGTCACTCCGGCCTTTCCACTCCAATCTTTCTGAGGCGCGCCAGAGCCAAAGGGGTCCCCAAGGACATGCCTCTGTATCTGCCTCACAACCAAGTGCTGGGGCGGGCAGAGTACTGCGTGGTGAGGCCTGGTGAAGATGGCCCCACCAGCCCCCAGCCCCCCAGCCCTGCCGAGATGGCTTCTGATGGGTGTCCGGAAGCAGAGGCCCCTCTTGGGGACACCAGAAGCCTCCACAAAGACCCATACCCCCCTGGAGGGCAGGACAGGTGCTTGCCAGACCAAGAGCTACCTTCCAGGGCTGAAGAGGACTCAGGAGAAAAGAACATGGGACCCAGAGAGGCAGCAGAGGATGGGTCAGAGCTGACAGAGGGGAAGAAGCTGGGCTTGAGGAAGTTAGTCCTCACTCCGGAGCAGAAGACAAAGCTGCTGGACTGGGACAACTCCATCCCCGAGAGTGTGAGCCCGGAAGCCAGGGCACCAAATGCAGAGAAGAGCGCTGACAAGGGTAGAGGAGGCCACGTGCTGAAACTGATGAGGCCCTTGCTGCCTCCCCAGACAGCCAGAGAGACCCCGCCAGCCCTGGGAAAGGCTCAGGAGAAGATGGGGATCCCAGCCGAACGGGCTCCACCCAAGTCCCCACTTCGGCTCATAGCGAATGCCATCCGGAGGTCCCTGGAGCCCCTCCTCCCCACCTCGGAAGGTGGGAGGAAGGCCTTGGCCAGGCCGGAAAGCAAGGCCTTGCCCGCCAGCCAGCCCAGCCAGCCGCATGCTTGCACTCGCTCATTCAGCCTTCGCAAAACCAGCTCCAATAAAGACTGCAACCAGCAGTCCCCAGGGAAGGACTCGGCGAGCAGGGCCTCGGCCTTCTTCTCCCTGGGCTCCTCACCTGCCAAGGCTGCCCAGCCCTCATACCCTAGCCCTCCTGACCCCGTCCACCGCACCCACAGCTTGCCCACCCGACCGTCCAAGGTGTTTCCTGCACTCATGTCCCCGCCCTGCCACAAGATAGATGATGTGCCCGCACTCCTTGAGAAAGTGAGTTTGCAAGAGACCTTTCCAGATGCTTCTAGGGTTCCAAAGAAAAGAATCTCGCTCTTTTCCTCCCTCAAACTCAAAGACAAATCTTGTGAGAGTTCCCTCCAAGAATCCAAACAAAGAAAGGACCTCCAGGACCTCTTCAGCGCCCCCAAGGGGAAAGGGGAGCCCGTGGACAATGCCCTGGCACAGCCTCGCCATAGCACCTGCCTGGGACAGAGGGTCCCTCCTCCTTCTCCAGACAAAGATGCAAGTAAGTGGCTCTTTGCTAACCAAAGTCTGCAGTTCATGCTGGCCAGTTAGTCATTCTTACTCACAACAGGCATCTTTCACTTTCTCCTTCCCAAATTAGATTCTGACCAAAGTAGGAAAAGTTGAATTTGAAAAATTAAGAAAAAAAGTTGAGATTATGCTATAGAGAGTTTTGAAAAAGACAAAGAATCAACCATGATCTCACCACTTTCCCACTCATTATCCGTGTATGGTAACTTTGACTAAACTTTACCCCCAAAATTGTATTTTTTAAAATCAGTATACCACAGCTATTATGACAATTAGCGCATAGTTTACATAAATGCAATTTGGTGGCAGTAGACTATTATATCTAGTGGATATATTATTTCATTAAGTAAATATTTTTTATTTAGAAAACAACTGTTTCATTGATGTATAGATATATATGTATATAAATTATGCATATGAATATATTTTACATATGATATTGAATGAACATTTTTATGCATATAGGTTTTTCTTTCCTTTGAATTATTTTTTAATCACGAACGTAAACAAAGGAAATAGCAAACAGTCATACCGAACACCACTAAAACCTCTACTAACAAATCCCACGCCAACTAGAATCTAACCCCATATCCAGCACTCTTCACCCTTGTCGAATACATATGAAACAAGACAACCCGCAGCCACATATTCACCCGAAAGCCATACCCGTCTATCTATTCCCTTACCGCCTAAAACACACCCCCTCCACCTGTCATTCAAACACAATTAACGACCCTTCCCCATACACCTATTAATACCTCCCCCTAACAAACAAGAACCCACAATGCACATATAACCTAGACAACTCCCCAGCTAACCCACAAAACCGCAAGTAAAAACAACTTACCCAGTAATAAACTCCCCAATAACATAGGAACCCCTCCCTAAAACTACGGCTAAAAATACTATTAAATACCACAGCTAGAAATTTATAACAAAACATATGTGCCATCCAACCACACCCCCCCGCCTAGGCCACATTCCCCTCCACCCCGCCCACACAAAACCCCCCACGACCCATTACACAACTCTGCATATCACAGCCCACTCACCAATCAAAGCCCAAGAAATCCACAAAAATCCTTAGAGACAGTTTAGTCAAACACTCACATGATTTATTTTGTTGTTGACACTCATTTTATGGCTTTAAACAAACTGTGATTCTCCTATCCTTATTTTTTTGGTAAATATTGTATTTATTTATTTGAGACAGTGTGCACGCGCAGGGGGAGGGGCAGAGGAAGACAATCTCAAGCAGATTCCCCGCTGAGCATGGAGCCCAATGATGCAATGTGGAGGCTGGATCCCAGAATCCTGAGATCATGACATGAGCCAAAGTCAGACATTTACCCCACTGAGTCACCCAGCTGCCCCTATCTCTGTTCTTGAGCAACTTTATTTTTATTTATTTTGTTAGCTTTTTTCTTCCTTACCTTTTACTTTAGACCATTAGTTTTCAAGTAAAAAATTCTTTTCCTTCTTTGGTGCCTTCATCAGAAAGCTACATAGGTTTAACAAGAGACTTTTTTTTCAGTCAAGCTCAGGATAAGCACAGACATGCTCAGAGTTTAAGTACACCCTTTAAACCACATTGTAAACTTTAATCTGTTGTGCATTCTTTGATAGACAGTACATTCATGTGGTTTAAAATAAAAGGGTACAGAATGCACAAAATAAATAGTCTTAGGTCCCTTCCCTGTCCCTGAGCCATCCAGGTCATATCGCTGATGACAGATGTGATCATCAGCTTCTTAGGCATTCTCGCAGACAGAAGTCATACATATAAGAGCAAATGTACGTATTATATCATTTCTCTCTCTCTCTCTTTTCATTAAGGTAGTTTGCTAGCAAATTCTACATACTTCTTATTATACTTTTCATTTTTTTGGACATCATTGCATATTAGCACATAAAGAGCTTTATGTTTTATAGCTGCACTGTATTCTGTTGTGTGGATGTGGATTTGGGTAGCCAGTCCCCTATGATGGAAAGTTCATTTCTGATCTCTTACTATTGCAAACAATGTTACAATAACAAACTGAGAACTTAGGCCATTTGGCATGTGTGGACGTACTAGAAGTGGAAATGCTGGAACAAAGATCTGTGAATCAGAAATTTTGATAGATCCTGACAAATCATCCTCTGTCAAAGTGGTGCTGGTTTAGCCAAATATGAAGACAGTGTTTCCACACTTGCACTAACCATTGTGTTACCCACCTTTTGTTGTTGTTTTCTGTGGAAATGTTGGTATTTTTCTTAATGATATGAAGGGACTCTATTAAAAGGGAAATTTAGCTCGTTTCTGTGATAGGAATGACAAATATTTTTTTCCAGCTCTGGCTTGTGTTTAACTTTGCTTATGATGGGTTTTGTCCTATAAAATTTTTATTTGTATTTAGTAATTATAAGCAATTTTTCATTTTATGGCTCCTTAGGCTTAGGAACTATATCATAGTTCAGAAAGAGCTACTTCCAAGTATATAGAAGCATTTTCTTACAGTTTCTCTTAGTCTTATTTGTTTGTTTTAAACTTTTTTACGTTGAAATATTTATATCAAGAAACTATCCAAAGTAAAATGTGAAGTATGGATCCAGTCCCATTTTTGTTTTTGTTTTAAGCTGTCTCCTTGGTTATTCTAAAATAATTTAATGACTAATGCATCTTCTCCACTCTTATGAGATGACATCTTTGTCATGTATCAAATTCCTGCACTTGGACTGATTTCCATACCACCCATAATATTCTGTTGAGTTGTCTGTTATATATCAGTACTACACTGTTTTAATTATTTTACTCTATATATTTATATACCTTTCTAAATGTATGTATGTACCATCAGGTAGGAAGGGCATTCCGTGATTGCTCCTCTTTTTAAAAAATTCCCTGGCTCTTTTTGCTTTTTTGGTATTCTATATGAATTTAGCATTCGCTTGTTTGTGTACCAAAAAAATCCTATGCCTGCTTTTATGGGATTCAGTTTACAAACTAACTTAGCAAGAATCTACGACCCTATGATATGAATTGCCTTCCCATTTGCTGTCTTTTTTGTGCACCTCCCCGTCCAGAATGTCTTAAACTTTTACATCTTACAGGTCTTGTGTATTTATTAAGTTTATTGCAATGTATTAGTTTTTATTGCTATTGTAAATAAAATATTTTGCTCCATCTTCCTACTGTTGTTTGTGTACTGAAATGTATTGATTTCTGTATAGTATTTTTGTACTCATCCATTTTGCTGGATTCTCCTTGTTTGTAAAAGTTTTCCAATGTCTTCTCCAGGGCCCTCCCCAAATATGCAATCATAATGTCCATAAATAATGATAATTTTACCTCCTGTTTAAAAGATGTATACCTCTAATTTATTTTGTTACCTCAGTTTGTTTGGTTTCTAGAATTTCCAGAACAATATTAAATAAAAGTAGTAAGAATGGTTTCCATATGAAATGCCTAGCCTTAATGAGAATGCATCTCATTAAAGAGAATGTTTTCCCATTTAAGCATAATACTGGCTTCTGGGTTGACCAAGATAAATTTAAATCCTCTAAGGAAATTGCCATCAAATCCTATTTTATTGAAAGTGTTTTAAATCATGAATGGATGTTGAATTTTATCAAATGTCACTTCAGTAGTCTTTGAGATGATTGTATGATTTTTTCTCATATGATTAAATAATACCATGAATTACATAATAAATTCACTGATATTGAACCATCCTTATATTGCTGAAATGAATACCATTTGGACATGATGTCTTATTATTTTAATATGCTTTTCTGTTCTGTTTGCTAATATGTTTTTTAAGATTTTATTTATTTATTTGAGAGAGAGAGAGAGAGAGAAAGTGCTTGGGAAGGGAAGAAGCAGAGGGGAAGGGATAGGGACAAGCAGACTCTGCGCTGAGCACAGAGCCAATGCAGGGCTTGATCCCAGGACCCCAAGATCACAATCTGAGCCGAAACCAAGAATAGGATGCCTAACCAACTGAGCCACCAAGCCCCCCCATTTGCTAATATTTTATTTAAGACTTTTATATCAAATTCATTTGTAAGATTGGCCTTTAGTTCATTTATATCACATATATGTGATTTTTGTACATGCTAATTACATTAAGTGGGGAGAAATGTGTGTTCCTGATATATTTATCATGGAGAACTGTTACATTTATATCTAGTAGGAAATAGTATGACTTCCTTGGCTTGGAACACAATGAAAAGGTAGAGAATGGAACTAGGTTAAGACCAGCTCTGGAAATTGTGTCTGGGCCCATCTCACAGAACTTTGTGTTTCTCTCAGGTGTTCTTAGGTCAGTATCCTAAGAATGGAAAGATTTTACCTACCCTATTAGATTAGGCCCATTAGTTTCCTTTTATTTCCTGTCCCTGACCAGCCTATCCACTAATCACAAATACACACAGAAACACACACACACACACACAGACACACACACATTGAAATTGCTCTCTCTACATTTAACTTGTAGGTATGCTCCTATGCAATAGAGAGAGAAAACAGTATTCTAATTGAAAATAAGAAACTTTCAAAACATATTTGAATGGAAATACCTTGAACTTATGATCACTTGAATAAATTGGCTGAAATTTAATTTTTCTTAATTTTCACAATAAAACTTTCTGGGTAAATTAATAGTACATATACATTTCTCTGGGTCTTTAAATTACTTAGGGACATAAACTGATTTCAAGCACTTACCAGTGCCGATTTTATACAAACAATTTTAATGCAAATTATTCCAGTATATAATTAAACAAGGCACCTTGAGAACCTCTTTTTTATTTTTGCATAAAATCTTTATTGCAGTGTAAGATATAGACAGTATAATACACAAATATTAAGTACACAACTGCTGAATTTTTACAATGTGTATATTTGTATAAATACCTCTGAGATCAAGGGCAGCCCTGGTAGCTCAGCGGTTTAGCGCCACCTTCAGCCTAGGGTGTGATCCTGGA